CATCTCTTTCTCATCTCTCTCATCTCTTTCTCATCTCTCTCATCTCTCTCTCCTCTCTCTCTCTCTCCTCTCTGTCTCTCGTCTTTCCGTCTCTCCTCTCTCTTCTCTCGCAGGAGGATCCGGGCAAAGAGCCACATATAAAGGACTCTTCACCCCTGCCTCCAAAAAGAGCGCCGTGTTTTTTCCTACCTCGCTGCCCTCCACTTTCCCATTCTGGAGCGCTAGCTTTCGCCCGCCCCCTTGGCCTCAAGTATATATATATATGCCCACACTGAGACCCCCCAAACCACCCCCACCCCTGGCCTGATCTCCAGTCCTATGGCAGTCCCGTTTGGGTTGTGTCTGGGTCATGCTCTTCAACCGTGTTTTGAATATATGTTGGTTGAAGAAGGAAGAGGAGATGAGTATTTTTGGGTGTGTGCCTAGTAATGTTGACTCTTGATTAATAAACCCCTCCGGGGGTCCCCCCCTCACCAATTGAGACTCCAGGACAACATTATTTATATATAATATTATATATATATATCTATATATATATACATTTGGGTGTTGAATACATGTTCAATGTTCGTGTGCCTTCACCCCGAGGAGCGCTTGCGCCGTGACAGGGAGCTGGACATTGGCCTTGCACTTTCTAGAGGCGATGCGGTCCGGTGCAGCGGTTTGGGTCGGCTTTAGTTTGACCAACATTTACAGGTTCGGAGCTGGTTCCTCTAAGAGGTGCATGATTTTTAAGTGACCCGAGACATGCTGTGAAAAGAAAAAATTGGGGGGGGGCCCTTGGAAGAAATCGAGGATGGGGTGTTTTTTTTCTGGGCGGGGCATCCTCTTCAGACTCAGAAGGGTCGAGGACATGGGAGTCCTCGGACATGGGAGTCCTGATGGTTCTTCGGGCGGAACCGCCAGAGTGACAACTAGTCGATTTAGCACAGCCGACTGGGCGCCCACGATTCGTTTGCTTCCCCAGCTGGAAGCTGGATGTCGCGTTCATGGTGAGTGAAACGGGATGATTGTTTCGTCTACATCACTACTCAGAAGGTGTTCTTGTTTCGATCTAACAAAGATTTGCGGCTATTCTTTGATCCGAAGACAGGCAGGCTTCACCCGATGGTCTACCCCTTGAGAGGTGTTCACTCACTCTGTTTGGCATCAACGGACGGCAGCACACGCGGATTCCTTTGTTTGCTGCCGACTGAACGAAGGAAGAGAGGATCCCGACGCCTCCGGGTATTGGGTTCGACAGGCGAGCGGACTCAGCCCCATGAGCCCTGAGGGCGTGAAAGACCAACATCCCTTGTTGAGCGCTTCAAAACCGTCCTACCATTGCTTGAGAAGCATATTTGCAGTTCTGTTCAACACTGATGGAAGACGCGACCACCCAAACACATCCAAACACCTTATAAATAGCGTTTTTGTGTCCTCAAGACATCTCACATAGGTGCAAGACACGATGTTCTTAACCAGACAGCAGCCTGCAGCAGACATCAGGAGATGCACCGCAGCAGCACGTCTCGAAGCTCCGTGAGCTATGCCATCACCATTTGCACCTGTGCAGATGGCCAGGCCTGGCAACAGGTCTTGGACTTGCAGCTGGGCTGCTGGAGAAACCGGTCTTCCACATGTGTGTGTGTGTGGGTGCGGGTGTTTATATACTGCACATGTATAGATGTGCGTACATATATGTACATATATATATACACACAGCACCCCTCCAAAAAATGTGTTGTTCCCGTTTTCAGAGACTGATGATATCAGATTTGCAGACTTGAGTTTCACCACATGTTTTAAAAAAGTAGACAACTAATATGTTGTTCATTTGTGTCCTTCACAATATCGATTTTATCTCAACAAACTGTTCTATTGCTCCTGTAGGTTTTACATTTGATGATTGGCTCTGTTTGTTATTTACTTTAATGTAACATATGCTTTCAATATGGGTGATGTCATGTCGTCAGGAGGCTCTTCCCAGTCTAAACAGGCTTATATAAAGCAAGGGCTTAAGCAGGAAGTTGTGAATTGAATATTTCTATGTATCATAGACAAAATTCAGTCCACATAGGAGACTTAACTGTTGTGTGAGTTTGGCTGACATTTTGCCATATCTTGCCCAAACTAATAGAAACAAAATCCTGACAAAGAAAACCAAAAAAGACACAATCCGATACCTGGATAGTGAATCAAACCCTTTTGCACCTGGTTTGGCCCATGACCTTCACCAGTAATGTGTTCCTTCATGTTACCACAAAAGGTAGCCTCGGCTACCTAAGTTCTTTTTGCTTTAGCAATACCTAGATCTTCAGTCCGGCACTTTTACAGGGTCCGGCGCCGGACTTCCAACGCCAGCGTTTTTCTGGATTTGGTCCGGCAGTTTTTCCAAATCACTTTATGTGGATTCTCAAGGCTTTGCATTCTTTGTGGTCCGCATTTCTTTGACAAGGTAAACCCACTACTGATGCAATGATTTGCTTGCAAAGTGTGCTCGTTTGCCTGTTCCGCTGTTTTCTCATTCCACGCTACCTTTCGTCCACCAACAAGTTTTTAGTGTTCTTAAGATGTTTTTTTCAGAATAGAAAGAGCTAAACAAGCAACTAGACCAAGAGAAACCTTGCGAAGATTGATGCAGCTAGGCTTTGGATGCCAAATTGTCAAATTTCAGAGTCTATAGACAGTTTGAGTATGAAACAGGTAGATAGCTTACCGAAGCAATAAAAACACATTGAATTGGGAAGAACTTGTAGGGAAGAGTGTTGAGGGGAGAGGAGGAGGCAAATGCCCATATGACATTGTAAAAGTTATTGTAAACTGTATCAGGAATGTATAGGAGCCATTGCTTACCTGATAGTTGTCAGCATTTTAAACAAATTGTTGCTTACCTGATAGTTGTCAGCATTTTTCAGAACTTTGCTTCTTCCCAAGTACACACTTGAAGATCATTTGCCATCAACAAGGAATTGCGCCAATCAAAACTAAAGCAGTGAGGTCACATGAAATAGGATTGATAGGTTGCTTCTACTCTTACCGAATCTTCTTGTTTAAAGCCAAATTACATGTCAGCAGTTCAATTCATCTTCTTCAACAACAGCAGCAGCAACAAGTTCAATCTTTAAAAGGCATAAGATATGTTAACTACTTGAGAGTCTACTTGAGCGAACTAGCTTCTGCCCAAGTATTTGTAAATTTCTTGCTGTACGTTGGGAACAGAAGCGGAGTGGCCCGGGGAACTCTGAAAGGAGGTTACATAATCGGACGTAGCAAGGTATTAAGATGTACTGGTACTAGTACAATGCCTGGAGCCAAGAATTTCTGCCACAAATTATATGCAAATCTTGGTTCTTGGATGTTCTTGCTTCTTTGCTGAAAAGGTTTGTACTCGACACTTTTAGTAGCACCTCTTGTGATGCATACCTTCTTTCCTTGGTTCTTAGCCCCGTTTTTAACCTTCGGAAATAGCAAGAACTCCTAAGGAACTGACCCAGAACTACCCCAGGAAAACAAGTCTACTAGCCCTCGAGCCTCCATATCTAGCCCTCCAATCCACCTCCCGAAAATGCTCAGAGTTTGCCTGCAAATCCCAGGTCTTCCGGGGCGGGAGGATTATGTTTCGATACGTTTTTCGGAACAACAGCTACATGGTGCAGCATTTGAGGATGGGACAATGTTTGTTGAGACAATGTGTTCACACAACAATTTAGCGGTTTGAACATTAATTATTGGATTTGGCTGGGAGATTTTAATCTTCAATCCTGTGCTGCCAGGAGTTGCTTTTAGTTTTTTTGCAACATTTTGGTGAATGAACGAATGTTTAAATATTTGTGTTTTTTTTTGTGTTTTCATTGTAAGTGTTTCTGTTTCAACAACCCTGTGTATGTGAAATTTTCTATTTAATTTATATATTTTTTTTTTGTAGTAGTAGTAGTGGTACCCCCAAGTTCAACACAATGATGGCTCAAAAATGTTGAGCACATGTTGGTGTTGGAGGGGGTATATACCTTATATATTTCTACACACCTTTAATATATATCATACATATATATATACACGGGTTATAATATGCTTTGGTGCCACTTCACTTCAAAACGCCGACATGTTGCATCGTCAGTTTTTGTGACGGGAACCTTTTCCATGTGTTTTTCTTTTCCATGTGAAGCCTCCAGCAACTGTTTGAGACCCAATCGAACATAGCCTTGAAAACAAACAAACTTTTGAATGTGAACTCATCTTCGGATGGTTGGGTTGCCCTGCCCTTGACTTTGACACTATAAAATATAGTCTTTAATTACAAACTGTAACTGTCTCGAGGAAGAGCTCTTCGCTCAAACTGTGCGGCTCTTGGTAGCACTCTCTGGGCCAAACGGTTCGCCGAGGCTCCGTTGGATGCGCCTCGACCACTTCAGAGCCAATGGTGTGGAAGCCGGATCAGCGGCTCATCACTGAAATGTCTGGGATGTATGGGAACTGATTGGATCCACCTACCCAGTCAGTGGACAACTTTCTATTTTCAAGGGAAACTCCGGGAATCAGACAAAACCTTTTTTTGGGGGGGGCGGGAGGTTGGAAAAGGATTTATGATCGATGATGCAAGGATTTGTTCCAAAAAGGTGTCTGACTGTCTCCGAGTAATGGGAGGATGATGCAAGATATATGTGCATAGAGCTTTACCGGCTTCGGTGCAGCCATGGTGGTTTTTGGTTTGGGAGAAAATTGGATCAAGGTGGAGAGTTCGAAGGACCTGATGGAAGATGCTGATGTTGTGGTCACGAACACTTCGAACTGCAACTTCACTGTCCTGGTGGTCTTGGTTTTTGTTGGCACTTTGTTCGATTGGGTTTGCGGGGGGATCTTTGGAGGAATCCGCATATGGGGTCCAAACCTCACCTACAAATCATGGGTCCGGTTAACTTCCCTTAAGGAATCTGTTCATTTTCACGGGTCAACCAGGGTGTCCGGGCTTTCGACCCACAGCCATATGAGGACATTTAAACATTGTCGAAGCCTCCAAGCACAGAACCCACAAACCAGTGTCGCACAGAAGCCACTGTGGGTCTTGGAAGTGCCCGACCCTCTAGGAAACGATTCAGGAAAACTCACGATTTGGACAACAACCCCAGGGAGTTTGGCATCGATTTTGAAAGCCAATAGGGTCAATAGGGCATGAACAGGATTCCGATCTTACACGGAACAGCACATTTCGTTAAATTTGTTTTTTCAAGCGGACCAAAGCAGAACAGAAAAAAAGTAAAAGAACACACAACAACACCCTTTGAAGTCCCACTTCCTTCTGGGTGGAGAACAGTGAAGATGGAGATGCAGCATCCGGCCGCACTCACCCACCCCAGAAGAAGCGCGGCATCGAGCTGAGCAATAGGCAGTTGGCTCAGCTGCTGCTTTTAGCTCAAGGGGCTCCGAGAGGCTTTGGGGCTCAGAGGGTCTGCATAGTTCAGCTCAGCTCAATCCCAAAGGTCTTAGTGGATGAAGAGTTCTTGAGAGTGATGCTTGGGATGAGGTTTGAGTTCAAAGGCTCTTGACGCAGGTGTGGCCAGAGCTGGAGTCAATCCAAACCTAAGAAGAGGTATGGTGTGGCGGAAGCTAACAACACAGGGAGAAACAACATCAATTAATTGAACAACAAAAGCGTCTCGGAGAAAGCAATTGTCTTACTCCAAATTCCTAAGACAATTGAAGGGTTGGGAACAACTATTGAATAACTATTTGAACACTTTTGTTTACAATTCCTTCACATTTTAGAGAATTCAACATCAAAGTAGAAAACATGAGGCCCCGTCGTTCTCCCCAAGGCGGCTATGAAATCATGGCACCTCCATGTCACCGTCAGTTCCCCCCCCCCACGAGCCTAGGCCATCGCTGCCATCAACGAGGCAGTCGGCCGACCGGCAGCGGCGGCTGGGCGCCACATGCTTGTTTGTGCATCTCTTTGGGGAGTCAGAGAGAAGCGAAAGGATAGAGCTTTGTACTTGTAACATGTACAAGTGCTTGCACAGAACAAACAGGATAAAGAGGCCCACACAGACCCTTAAATCCGAATCCAACAAACAAAATAATATGTGTTTTTTTTACACCAAGGTCAGATCATGTTTTGTTGCTTCAGTTCGATTGTAGTTTTGCAACATCTGTGGTAAGATTTTAAGTGAGCAGGGGTGGCAGTGCCTGGTTGGCCAAGGAGGCCCTTCTGATCTCCTTGAAGGAGGACAGGATGTGCACACCGGGCTCTCGGTTAGCGACCTTTTTTTGATGTTGATGGCTGAATGAGTTGGATAATGAGTTAGATATCATTTGGGTTCACTACCGCTGTCACCGTAAGTAGCCACAAAAGAACGCGGGCTTTCCTCCACACGTGGCCCAAGTGTGCGCGGGGTCTTTGAGATGCTGAGTTTTGGACCGAGTCCAAGTACAGTAGTTTCAGGGTAGACGGCACTGGCAATTTTTACATGCCTTTTAGATGGGGGTCCATATATAAACCACCGACATTCGGGGTAACTTGTGCCATCGAACCTCGAAAAAACCAGTGTAACAAGGAAGGCTTCCTCAAGTCATTGTCTAGAAACTGCACCGAAGTCGCACAAAAACGACCACGGACCTTGGGAATTGGAGGTGCTGGCTGGACGAGCGAAAAGCCACAGGTTTTTCAGAGAGGTGCAACACGTTGGGGGGTAAGAAGCCGAGGTGAACCTCTTTCATTTACAGTAAGTGTTCCCTCCGATCTATATTATATATTGTCATATCCCAGACGCGACCCATGGGACTGCCATATATGCCGATCAGTTGGGGTGGTGTTTTGGGGGTCAATTGATCGGCATATATTCCAGTCCCATGGAGTGTCTGGGTATTTTGATAAGTCAGAGGTGAACACTTGAGGTTTGGATCGTCCGAAGGGGACAAGACAAGACCTTGTGTTGTGGAGCCCCGCTGCTGCAGGACTATTTCAGCTCGACTTCCAGCGGCCGCTTTGGAGCAGTGGCCACCTTGGGCGGCTTTGACTTGATTGAGACCCCAGCTTGACAACTGCACGTGGGAAGCTTCAGCTGGAGGATGAATGGTAAAATCATCTGCACGTCAGACGAACTCCCATGGGACGTCTTTGGGCCTTGGAACTTTGGCGGCCAGGCCAGGCTGATCCCCCCACGGCCTTTCTGCGACGATTCGCAGCGTGTTCGGTGTCTTTTTCGTCCCCCAACGAAGACTCAGGTCGGATTGAAGCCTTTGATTCACCCCATGAGGTGGAGACGCTCGGTGGCACCCGATGAAAGCTGAAATGGCGAGGTCACCTCATCCGGCACTAGCTTGGCGGCTCCCAGGCTCCCCGCTTGTAGGGCTTAGGACAGCTCAGCATCTAGCAGACCTAATTAGCACTCAGCTCAGCAGTATGTCAACACAGCTTCAAAGCTGTCATTGGCATGCAGTTTTGAACACTGGTTCTTTTTCTCATGGGGGAATCAACACACCATCTCCCGCAATGTCATGGCTCATGTGTGCTGCTTCGATTGGATTTCGACCTACTTTTTGGGTGAGCTAACTCTTCAGCAAGTGCGACCAAGCCCAATCACCTCTCTGGAACCCCTGGAACCGTGCAAAACGACACAATCTTCCCCTCACAGCCCTCCACTCATCTCCACCTTTAATAATTGAAAGACCTCCACCCATCTCCACCCCTCCCATCACAGCCAACAGTTCCAGATAGCTCCAGGCTCCTTTGGCGCAGTGGTCCGCTGCTCGCGCTGCTAAAGCCCGCAGGGCTCAGCACTGAGGCGACCCTGGCGGCAACCTCGACGCAGCTCCGCGGAGCCGTCGTGACGCAGGTCTCGCGCCTGGCGCCGCGGCAAAGCGTAACAGCTGGAGGAGGGTCCCCAGAGGAGACGAAAAGTAGAGAGATCCCTTTCAAACGGTCTTGGAAACCCTGCCCCGGTCAGAACAATGTTTGGGGATCACTTGACGATCAGGTGGAGTAATTAGCTGCTTCACGGATATATTCTTTTGTCCTGAACCTTTTTGGGGTCAAAGGCTCCAAAGAAAAAAGCTGCTCGCTGACCATTTGTGGCGGCTGAAAACTCAGTCACCCGACTTCAGCAACATGTTGTGGGCTTCACCGAGGATGTCCCAACCTCGGGAGCCTTGCTGGCGGCCCTGGGGGAGCAGGACAGCTGCGGGGCATGGCTTCTTGGACGAAGACGGGAAAGGACGAATTCGACCGCGCTGAGGCACGACAGAACCGAAGACGCACTCGACCGCCTGGCTGGAATCGACCGGTCTCGTTCTGTTCATCGCCCAAGGACTCGGGAGACCCGGTCTCGTTTGGGGCTTTCGTACCTCGCGACGGGATGTTTGGGGACAGGTCGACTCAGGTCGACTCAAGTGAAACAGCACCGATGTCGCTTTGGACCTTTTTGGACGAGACGTCTCCAGCTCGCTGCCGAGAGCTGGCCTACCGAGGTGGCTCTTGGCGCAATTCGCAGGGCGCTTGGTCTCGAAGGTCACTCGGATGGGTGAGTGACTGGGTGTTTAAGGAGCAAGTGTTGCAGGGGTGCTTGTCGATCTATATGTTGTTTATTTGTTTTGTGTGTTTGTTGTTCATTGAAATTTGATCTATAATCTAATCCAATCCAACTTAATCTATAATCCAATCCAATGCAATCTAATCTAATCTATATAAATACAATACTCTAATCTATGTTAACTTATCTTATCTTTCAATCCATCCATCCATCCATCCATCCATGGAATTTTCAGTACATATGACATATATGTCCTTTGGGGATGAAGCTAGGCTTGGGTTGTCCGCGGCCATAATCGCGGAGTCTTGGCCTGTGTGCCCCTGAACCTTCAATTGCTCCCTCTCAGAGAGACATCGCCTACAAAATCCCGACTCCGGACTATCGATGTTTTACTTCCTATCGATGGCTTGGACGTGATGTTTATCTTCCTTTCCCTATAGGGATCCAGTCGTACCGAACCTCAGAAGGTGTTTGGGGTGGGTTTGGAGGGTCCAGGTGCCTTCTGAGAAGGTACGACTGGATCCCTAGTGTTCCTTTCAAGATACTCACTAGGATGCAGCTCAGACCGTGTGGAACAATCCCCTCGCGGATTGTTGTCCCGTCGCGATGTGTTGATGAAATTGCTGATCGCTGTTTGATATCGAAAACTATCAAAACTGCATCAACATGCCCCTGGTTCCAAGGAAGAAGCATGAAGAAATGAAGAAACCACAAGATCAAACTACAGCCTTTGTTAGCTAAATACCGCCTGCGCGGGCGCTCCTGATTAGTTGCTTGTTCGGGGCCGTCACCTGGTTTTGCATCGGTGATGCTTAACTCGTATTTGTCCTTCATAGTCCTTCATAATTCTCACCGTCACTTGGTCATTTTGCTTGTTAACTGTTGTGCAGATTCTACAAGAAGGCACGTATACCATTTACCACTCGGAAGTATGGCTTTTTGCCGGAAGAGGGCACCTAGTTTCGCACCGCCACAAATACGAATCGTCCGACCCGCTTGGGCCTCCGACCTTCCAGGGCACCCTGGAGGCCGTGGCAACGAATGGGTTGGTAAACCAAAAAAGGATCGTGCTGCTCGGTAATCAATGAATTCGTTGAAGGGAAGATCTGCAGGAAAACGTATTTTTCCAACCCAGAAACCATGGCGTTTCTGTTGATGTTCCCTTAAATATCCTTAAATACCAAGTCTGTTGTAATACTTGTTCTTCTTGTTGTTGTTGATGTTAAAGAACACGGAGATCCCTCAACAAAGCTACGATGAGCTGAATTGCTTGGGGTTTTCCCAGGCTCCTATGGGCTCCAACAAAGCATTTGTGCTTTTAATATATATAGGAAGGCCCCCAACCAATAGGAAGACTGGTCTATTTCCCTTTCTCAGGGGGGTCGCTTGCCTGGGAGGTCTCCCTGTCGGTCGCTACCCGTCGCATAACTGGACCTTCCACCGGACGCCCCGTTCGCCACGCCCCGTTCGCCAGGTCTACTGTTGCCTTTGCCACGGCGAGCCGCCCGGCGAGCCGCCCTGGCATGGTGAGGTGAATCGGCCCTTGAAGGCCGATCGGCATCGGTGCGCTGGTTTTGGCCACACGCGCCGGTGGGAGGGTGTGCGGAGCGGGCTGGCCTGGTGAAAAACCATGAAAAGGACAGGTGAAAGACATTGAAAGACACTGTGAAAGACATGGGTTTGAGCCAGCTCAAGCTAAGTGATTCTTACCAGTGGTGGTGTGAAGAATTGGAGCTCGAAGGGTAGTGCTCAGAGCAGCAGCCCTTGTTTTTTTCAGTGGATGAGTGGATGACTGGTTCGGTTGCTTGTTTATAGTTTCAAGTGGATTGGCCAAGTGTCAAAAGTAGATGTTTCAGTTTGAAGCCTCACAATGCGATCGACAAACACACGGGTGTGTAATATGGTCAAAATAGGGAGGCCTCCCAGGCAACGACTCCCTGGAAGAAGAAAGAAAAAAACCATCCAAAACCATTTCCTAGGGATCCAGCCGTACCTTCTCAGAAGGCACCTGGACCCGACAATGGCACCCACCCCAGTCCCACCGAACCTGCGGTTCGGTACGACTGGATCCTTAGGGATTGGGTTGTTTGTGCTATTAAATATCCACATCTAGTTGCGGGATCTTCATTCGGTGAACTCGGAGGACTTCGGCTGAACTCGATGGGGACTTTGGGTGACTTCGGGTCCTCTCGTTTTTGGCTGTTTTTTTGCGCAGCTTCTTCTTAATAAGCTGTTTGCTATTGTTTGCTCGTGTCCGACTCAGTTCCCTTATGTTTTTAATGTTCAATTTATGTGTGTTTTGTGGTTTTGTTTGTTTTTTGTTTCCCCCCATTGTTTGTTTCAAGATCTGCTGTTACTGAACCATTCGGGGGCCCTCACAACCACAGAATAGCAGCAACCATTCAAACGACTCCCAGCCGGGCCATCTTGGCAAAATCACATTTGTTTATTTTTATCTCGCTCTTCTTTTTCAATTTAAGCTTGAAGGAGCACTTGGAGAATTGGTCTTGCTCCAGGTGCCCTATGTATATGTTGGGTAAAGGGGCAAGTCACGGCAATTTCTTGAAGTGAAACACGACCAGCTTGCGGAGTTTGTAGCTTCACCGCTTCACCTGCTATGTGTGCGAGCTATGAGAGCTTTTTCGAGCGGAAAAGGCGGCGTAGCTCATCTCTGAAACCCGGATGTGAAGGGTGCACACCCACCATGGGAAGCACTGAACCCTTCACCTGAAACAAGAAACACTGAACCCTTCACCATGGCAGGTGTCTGAAACCATGGCAAGAAACACTGAACATCAACCTGCCCCTGCTTCCGGCTTCCAGTGACCTGAGCCGAACCGGCACGGAACCAGCTGCGTGAAGACACACCACCACGTGCGTTTTCGCCACCTGGTCACCACCCTGGTCACCCTTTTTGGTGCGCAGGTGACGTCAGTTCTGGGCGTGAGTCAGGCGACGATTGTGAAGGCGCATCCCGGACGTCTTGCATCGAGCACCAGCTTGTGCAACGAACAAAAGTCTGAAAAGATGTTATTAAGTAGCTTTTCGGGTTAAAGGAGGTGAGAGTGGAGGTGAGTTACTTGTACAGCCAACATGGGCTTTCCCCACATATATCACACATGCACATGTGATCATGTGTGGTAACTCATGAGGTTAAAGGAGATGATCATCCAAGATGATCATCCATTTGGATCACGATCAGATACGATGCATGTTAACTACTGTCCGAATTGCTTGACCTGCTTAAAATCATCTTTGGTTTCGGCTGTTCGGCTTGACCTGCTCCGACAAAAACGGTTGGTTCGGCTGTTCGGCTGTACGAAGTACGAAGCGGCTTGAAGCCCCTTTTCTTCCCCCAAAGAGTGGGGCGTCCACGGGTGTCTTCACGCTCGATCTCCGGGTGTGTGAACACGACGGTGATCACTGGTGCGGATGGCCAGTTGAACAACTGCCAGGTGCAGGCAAATGGCATGGTGCTCTCTCATGCTGCTAGTGCCTGTGTTCTCTCACAGGGTTCATGTGCTCTCACAGCTGTGCATGTGCGCTCGCTCTTGTGCGCTCAAGTTCGGTTCTTCACCCTTGTTCTAGACACGCCTGCTGGGGCTGCTGGGGCGCCTGCTGGTGCTCCAAAAACTCCATGGATTCTTTCTGGAGACCTCAGGGGAATGTGTTATATTCAATCAACAGGGGCGGGGGTACAGAATGCGAAGCACTGCGAAGCAGCTCAGGAGGAGGATCCGCAGGGCAAAGCCTCGTGCACCAAATATGAAGTGCTGGCCACCTTCCAAAGCAGCAACGGAGGTTGGGCCAGTAACAAAAATGTGTTTATAATGTGTGCATATGCAGTTAGCAGTTGCAGTGTTCATAAGCTACATACGGTACAGAATTTTGCTCCTCATGTTTCAGAAACAGTTCTACTGCTTGTGGCTTAGCCACCCACCATGGTCCTGCAGGAGTGTTTTCGCTGACGCAGGCGCAGCCAGTCACTGGAAGGACCATGTAGCACTCTGAACATTGGTCATGTGAATGTGTGTTATTGCTCAAGTGAAGCTTTTACTCTTATGGCACTCACTTTGGCGCCCCGAATCAAAGGTAAAGGCCTTAAGTGCAGTTTCGTCTTTTTCCCATAGTTACACTGTGTTACACTCCATGGGACTGGAATGTATGCCGATCAATTGACCCCCCTGGCGCCACCCCAACTGATCGGCAAATATGGCAGTCCCATGGGGTCGTTTGAGTTTGGTCATTTGTTTGTTTGCGTTTTTTGTCTCAAGGTAACAGCGCACGAGACTGGCAGCTGGCGGCTGTTGCTATAACAAGCCCCGTAGCTGTAAGATGCTGCAAGACAAGGATTATGTATAACACTGGTTTTCGGACATGATCATACCAGCAGTGAACAAACGACTTTAGATACTGCAGTGCTTGAGCATAGATGGCATAGATACGTTTACCAATTCCCATATCACCACATGTCTGATTCGCCTGGGGGCGACAGGACGCATCAGATCAGAGTACATATGGCCAGTGTCGAGAGCTTAGGGCGACGTACACGGGACCTCGGCGACCGTGAAACGGGTCGGACCGGACCAAGCGAGTCTGACATGTAAACGCCAACAAAAGGGATCCTGAGAACATGGGAGGTTTCTTATAGTACTGCTGGCGGGTGATTCCACTCATCCTTTCAATCGTTTTTTTCGCCCAAGACATGTTTCTCCGTTGAATGGCATGTCACTCACATCCCTAGGGCATGAGAAGTGTTTTGTCCTTCATGGATTTCATGCGCACGTACGGCACCCACGTCCACATCGGGCTGACGGCTTGGGCAACCGAGCTCCCGGCTAAGGTTGGGTTGCCCTTGGTGGGGGACCGGAGATATGGCAAGGCGCCCGCAGAACAAACTGAGCATGTTGAGGGGCTCACCATTTGAGCAGAACGAACTGGGCATGTTTTTGATGATGTTGGGATATGTTGTGCATATAACACGTTTATATCGTATACCTCCTTCCTTCTTGGTCAAAGGTTTGCGAAGATACATCGACTGTCACATTGCCATTGATGGTTTCTTTGGAGAGCCTCGTTTTCTTTGAATTAATTGTTGGAGCCGGATGCTGGAACGTAGACTCCATCGCAGGCCTTTGAGACTGGTGGGAGGCCTCAGGAGACGGACCGTGTGGAAGAGGTCTTGGTGGAACTTCACGGCCTGCCAAGAGGATAACATGACGGGAATGAACAGGTCATGAAGAGCTAATGACGTAATATTGGTTCATGGCTTGAAGGTCTTGAACTCCTGAGGCAACTGTTTGTTTGATGGTGACAGCCGTGGAAGAGGGAGCATTGAGTGAGGCTGGTCAGCACGTCATCATGAATTTAGTTCAGGACGGACCAGCACACTCAACAGAGACGGAGGTGTCCAGTTCCATCTCAACAAAAGGATCCAGTTCCGCCCCTTCCGCAGGATGTGTTTTCACGACGTTCCGTGCCTATTTCGGGTTGCCACTTGCTTGCTCCTCGTTTCCAGATCCGCTGACGCGCTCAAGGTCGGCCTGTTCTGCCTGGAACCGAGCATTTGTAACTCAATAGAGGGATTCAGGGGGTTCTTCACATCATCATCCTTTGTGACTAGTAATAGGATGTAATAGGATGGACCCAAAGTATTTGGATGTAAGGATTGCTGATTCAATACGTTTTTTTGGAGCTAAAGCTGAAAACAACGTGAGAGAATACTTGTCTCCCAGCATCCACTGGTCTCTGCGCACGAAAAACACTGAGGCCTGAGTGGTGTCCGAGCCTGTTCTTGCATTGCTGGCAATTGCGGTTCCTCAGTACCTGGATCGAAGGGAGCCAAGTAGTGGAGCTACTGGTGCACAGAGTGGAGCACGTGGACCGGACGGAGCAGTGGTGTTCCGTCTTCCAATCGGAGCCGAGCTATAGTGGAAACTCAAGTGGGATGCGGGATACGGAAGTCAGTCCAGTAGAGCGGCTAATGATGTTTGGAGTTCATGATCATAATTTTTCACACCAGTCCTTGGATGGGAGAGCGTGGTGCAATCAGTGGGAGGTTTGAGATGGGTTTGAGTGTGTTTCAGTGTTGGAGTTAGATGCTTTTCCAGAACGCTTCCAAATCTTGGTGATTCTTTTTACCCTGCGCTGTTTCACAGTGAGCCGGCCGCCTAGGCCTCGACGCTGAGCCACATTTGCTGTGCGCCCCTTTGCCGCCAGCGCTCCGCGACGCCTTGCAGCACCTGACGCTGCGGAGTGGCCATGTGCCAGCGGAGCTGTGTGGCGTGCTTTGCACCGGTGGATGACCCCGAGCACCGCAGAGTGGTCGCTCGGTGGTCGATGAGGTACCTCGCCAGGCGAGGGGGGACCTCGCTAGGTGGAGAAAATACCAGTCCTGATGAACAAGGCCTCTAACATCAAGGTCGCACCAAGGTCCTAGCTAGGTCGGCAAAATCCCTTGGGTTTGCGATTCGGGGTTGACCAGGATGTGAGCTCTTTGGGGTCATGATCATGCCACCACCAACAGTTACAAACTGTCACTCTGACACTCAGCCCCCACTGCTTTGCATATGTTTTTACTGCGCCATACTGGTCACTGCTGTCTCTACCTGTCTGTTAGGGCCCACGCAGAGATGAACTCAAGGGTGAGGCGTGGGCCTCATGAAGACGCACCAAAACATTGCAAGAACATACAAGAACTACCGTGGTTGTACGAGTCTAATTTTCAAGGTGTTAGCTCCATTGTAAACTTGGCCCCTCTGCCTTCCGGCTGCTTGAGGTTGAGGCGCAACAAGTGCCAGAGCGTCCACCAAGCATTGCAGGCCCGGAGCGCCTTTTTGTGCAGCTTGGATCGCCAGCGGCGCGACCACTTGCAGGAAGGGATAACGTTTGGCCGCAACCACTTGCAGACCGGCTCGAATCCTACTGAACCGAACCAAACTAATTGACTCTTAGAAAACCAAAAGCGCCGAAAGCCGTGATTGCACGGAGAAAAACTGCAGCCGCCATGCTTTGCAAAGCCATCCTTGCTATGGCCATCAACTTGCATGCCCTTGCACACACTGATGGTGACGAAAACGGTTTGCTCCAGCTGCAGAACAAATCGACGACCTCAATTGTCGTGGTTTCTGGGTGCATGAGTATCTGGAATCGCGTTCAGCAGTTCAGCTTGTTCTCTTGTAGCAGCCTGTGGGTTTAAGCATGTTTAAGTTTAAGCTTTTAAAGTGTTGATAGATTTTAGAAGTTGATAGTGCAAATCCGTCAGGTAACCCTGAAGACAGTTACTCGGAAGACATTTGCACGATTGCCAAGAAGAACTTCAAGACATACTGCGACTATCACGGCTATAAGCTGGTGTTCTACACCCAGTTGCCTCCTGGATCTGAAGATCGAGCGCCGCACTGGTCGAAGATCTTAGCCGTTCGAAACATTCTTGAGTTCGAGCGCGTGGATTATGTTTTTTGGATGGACAGCGATTCGCTCTTCGTGAACTACAGCACCAGCTTGAAACACTACTTGCCCCGAGGAAACAGCTACATGACCTTTAGTGGAGGCGACCTTTGCTTCCTTAATTCCGGACACATCATGTTCCCTGGATTCACTCATTAGTTCATTGTTGTCATTGTTGTCCTTTCCCCTGTTACTGTTGTTTTTTGTAAGTTAGTTCACCCCCGCGGAAATCCAAGGTTCAAGAATGACAAGTGGACGCTGGACTTTTTGAAGGAAGTTTGGAAGACGTATCCTTCTCCAGAACCGTGGCAAGATCAATCGGCCATGATCTACGTCATGCATAAGTTTTCTGCCAGCCCAGAGGCAAAGGAGAAGGCCACAAAATGCCGACACTCCGTCTGAGCAGAGTCTGGTTTGGGCGGAGTCGTCGGAGTGGTTTGGTTCGTCCCTTCCTCCGGCCGTGGATGCCTTTTTTTCGGTAACCAACGACTTCCTCCAAGTGAGTGCACCGGCACCTAACCTACATGTGACTCCTCGAGTCGGCCTGTGGAATGGGGGGTCCAGAGCGTCGGATTCCCATTCGGTGCATCCTTTTTTTTTTACCGGTCTGACGGACGGCGTGTCTGTGTCTTGGCTCATCTCATAGTAATCGCGTTTTTTTCTGGTCGGTGGTGTTGGTGTATAGCAGGACCATTTCATCGGTATATTTGCCTACATTGCGATGGTTTGGGGGATTCAATGTAGGCATCGGATTCCATTCCCATGAACATGGCGCACTAGCTCTATCGAAACATGGCCTGTCACCTGTGACTACCTTCAGGTGACTACATGGCCATGAATAATGAGGATCCAGAGGGCTGCTGCAATTCGAAGCTAGTGACTGGAGTGGACATTCGCCCGCACACGGAGCTGAATGCCCTGAACTTTGACAGAGAAGGCGTGGGAACAACGGACGGACGACGATTGCTTCGTGACGCCACCATGGTAGGTGGAAGGTGGACCTCTCCGCGACTTTATTCTGTTCATGTGCGGTGGGAAGACACCAGCATTCCAGACGCAGCTTTTTGACCCACAGCCCAAGGTTCGAGCAACATGTCTTTAAAGCAGAGAGTGCACGGTGTTGATAGGGCACGAGGGCTTTTGGGTTTTGGGATAATTCTGGTGTTTGTGTTGGTGAAGTGGTTCCCGTGCTGTGTGAACCCGCAGGGCTTTCCATTGTCCACTATGCGGGGAGATCCCCTGAAGACAAGGCCAGACAGATGGCAGAGACCGCAGGCAAGCTGGTTGATTTAAGGATCGGGAGTTTGGTGGAGGTGGAGGGCTCGGCCAAGACGGCCAAGTTGCACGCGTCAGCTTTGCAAGATTGATTTGTTGAGACTGGATACACGCCAAAAAGGTGCCCTTTCAGAAAAATGATCAGAGAGTTCTGCTTCAGCTGCGGCTTGTGTACTGCAAGATGGCCATTGATTTCCAAATTTGTCCAGATTGAAACCACATGATACCACTAACATCCACTAACACTCCATATAAATATGTAGAAATAAGTGGGAGCACCACAGGTTCTGTGAAGTTGGGTTTGTTGTTTTGTTTCAGTCCTCATGCAGCATATTGCAGCACGCTTGGAGGTTTGGAACACATCTCCGAAGGTGGTGACAGCCTCAGTGCAACCTTCACACACTCTCCGAACACTGGCATAACAAATCGAAGATCGCGCCAAAAATCTAGACTCAGACCAAAAGTTGCCTTCCGTTGAAAGTCACATATAGATGACTAACACATTATGAATTACACATCCTGGCTTCGAGATTTAGAGGAAATCGAATGGTTTTGGGAACCTGCAATGACCAGACCAGATTTAGGTGCCAGTGCCTGTTTGTTGCTTCTTGATGGTTTGTCCTAAGGATTTTGCATGGAGCCAAGCACCATGCCTTTCGCCTTGAGGTGTCGGATCGCCTCATCTTCGCACCCCTGGAGCTGTTGACAGGTGTTGCGTAGCTCGGATATGGAGGACATGGAGATGCCGAGATGTTTTTTCGGAGAGTTGGGTTGACTGAAAGGATATATCATTAATTATCATTGCCTTCTTAGAAGGGGTGCCATTGTCGGGTCCAGGTGCCCTAGGGTATATAATCAAGGACTGTGGTGCCCCCCACAGTCATGGAGCTGTGGCCGAGCCGCAGCGTGTTCTTTTTTGGAACGGAAGAATGGCTGGACTGATCAGCTCCACCTGGACCTGGACTGAAAAAGGCATACATTGCAGAAAGGTAGCCACAGACCATCACGCACCATCAATCATCCACAATGATTCCACAGAATCGCCTGGCAACAGGCAACAAGAGTTTAAACTTGAAGACACTCGTTTCCGAAACAAGTATAAGTTAAGTTCTTTAAGAAAAAACCCTGACCAGCATGTACAACACATGTGCAGCACAAAAAAAGACAGCTCGAGTCGCTCGAGCTTGGACTTCCAGGACAGACATGGCGCTGCCGAGCCGCCGTGAAACGCCTCGCATCGCTCCCACCCAGCCGTCGCTTCATCGAAGGCACGGCGGGCTCGGGGGCGGGCCATCCGGTTCAGGTTCGTGGGCCTCCTTAACAGGGCGCGCAGCCCTCACCCTCTTGGGAGAAATGGCTTCTGTGTGTTCAATCGATTGGACTACAAGGATGTGAAAGAAATGCGAGGGTTCTTCAAGTTGTTCTACAAATTCGTGGGAAGAATGTTTGTTGAAATCACTGAAAATCAGCCGCAGACCCATGAATCTTTGCGAAAGACAGTGCAGAACTCTACAAAACGGGTCACAGGAGCAGAAATCTACAAAACGAGAACCTTCTGCACGCTGGATGCTGGCTTCTTGAGATCTGTGATAACGGACTTGCATGTGCCATGTGCCGACCGAACTGTCGGACGGGTCTTGGACCTTCGACACCGAACGTACCAAGGACACCGTCGTCCGGAACCGGTTTGGAACCCTCGTTCGGTCCGCCTCGCCGCAGAAAGACCGGTTTGAGGTTTGAGGCCGCATGTTTGGTGAGTCACCCAAAACGAGTGTTTGGATGTGTTTTGTGATAGTTTTGTGTGTTATTTTCACGAGAAGAGAAGAAGAGCAAATGGTGTTCTTTTTGTTCAAGAAGGTGTTGAAAGCCATATTCCAGGGACCCTATGCCCTTCTTTCCCCTCCCCGACAGGACTAGGTTAGCTGCAGCTTTGAGATAGTCAGCCCAAGAAAAGTGGACCGCCCAGTGACAAACAAAATAAGAGATAACAAACGTCAACACTAAACACGAGCACGGCATGTCCCTCCAGTCCCGCCAATGCTTGCAATCAAGTCGATCGGTGCGGTCGATCGGAGCGACTCCGTCGCGCTTCGGAGTCGACGAATCGACGGAGATAGTCTTAGATATTTACTATTATTCTACTTCATTGTTTTGGTTGGGCTTTCGGAGCAAGACGAGTGCCATGGCTTGATGTGGGATTTCTCCATGATTTCTCTGAAAAAGCTTTTGCGCCTCAAAGCTTCCCTTCCGCCTTTGCTTCAATGCCTCACTGCAGATTCCCTCCTCGCCAGCGGCGGAGAAACAGCGAAGACCGGCGAAGACCCAAAAAAACCGCCGCCCGCTGAGCTGTGTCGGTCGAGGGCATCGAGGCAGACCCGCAGCAGACGTTTGCAGACCCGCTGGCCGGAGCCATATTTTTTCCCCACCTTCATGAAGACCTCTTTCTGGTTTCTAGAGGTTGGGGAATGATTTAATCCAGGCCGCCCTTGAAGCATCATGTTCCACAGTTTGAAGGTTGGAGCAGAGTCTATTGCTCGGCTTTGCAGATGCCGGGCAGATGGGCTTCTTGCATTTTCTGGCGGTTGATGGTGGATGCTGTGGATGCTGGGGAGGGTAGGAATCGATACATGAAGGGAACTCTAGGTCCGGGGTTTGCTTGCTTTGATGTCAGTTTTGTTTGGAATGTGTATGTTGATGTATTCTCAGCAGTTTGTTTTTTTCAATTGTCTCTCTCGCAGTTTCTATTATATACATGGTCCTTCAAGAACATCCATTCAACTGAGATGCCATATACCAGCGGTCACCTGGCTGCTTTCGCCCACGGAACGGTCGACGGCGTCCAGGACCTGTGCGGTACAGGGAAGCGAGAGGTGGATCCGGTCGGGGACCCCGAGGCGACAGGCGAAGAGCGGAGCATGGACCCCGCCAATCAGATATTTCAAGAGGCGGGAAGTAGCTACTAGCTGCAACCTTGGCGAACCAGGCGAACTGCTAGGAATATTCTTCAAGATCCTTGGTAGTGGGAAAGGCCCATCGTTTATTATAAGGCCAACACCGGATTAATCAACCTAACCCGGTTACTGTTAGTTTAGTATTGGAGGCTCCAGCTGGGTTTGATTAATAAGGGGGGTTGCTTAATCCTGTGTGCACATTAATTAGTAATTTGTTTGGTAGGGTTGTATCAATATTTGCGGTTCTGGGTGTGATGTTGGCTTTGGCAGATGAAGAGCGATGAGACTGAGATGAGTCCACAGAGCAGTAAGGTAAGATGATGTAAGATGCATTACAGGTAGTGGAGAAGGAGACTTGGGTGAGGAGGAGGGTGAAGATATGGAGGAATATGCATTGCTTGAGGAGCAGGCGAACCAGGCACGGCCACTGAGGAGTTCAGATTCACTGCATTTGCTGCACAATGTCCCATCCAATGAGTCTCACTGAATGCCAAAAACTGCAACAGGCATGAGCCAGCAAGAGCACTGGGGTGTTGTGAACATTCATTGCGGAAGGAATGTTCTATAATTGGCAAGTCCGGACCACAGGATGAGGGATGGGTCGAACTACAGGGGTTGAAAGGGAAAGGTTTGTTCCTAATTTGCTAGAAATTTGGCCCAAGAAAGGTTGACCAAACTGACTGGGATTTTGGGCAGGAAAATGGGCCAGAAGGTTCTACCACACAGGAGGTGAGTCTTTTTTAGGAACAAGCCGGGCCAAACTAACAGGAGGGGTCCTAATCATCGTGAATCATGGCTTGAAACTGAGCAGTGTTTGTTTATGGAGGATGCCAGCCGGTTTCCTTGGCAATTGTCGTTGTTGCACCATTACACTGGAAGCAACAGGAGCCCCGAACTCGTAGCGAACCTGGTCTCCGTTCGGTTTCGATGCTGCCCCGAACTCGTAGCGAACCTTGTGACGTTCCTTGTCCGCGGGACTGGGCTGCACCCATAGTACCTACTAGGAGCAAGAAGCTACTAGGGGCTCCTGGCATCGCTAGTAGGAGCAAGAAGCTACTAGTACCAGAAAATGGTTTGTTTTGGGGCGATCGCCGGTGGCGAGCACCAACACCTGGTTTTCGCACACACCCAGTTCCACCGTCGACCACGAACCAGGGAGCCAAGGATGAGGCATGAAAAACGACAACTGAGGGCCTTGAGGCCTCCTTGTTCCTTTCTTTATCCTTGATCAATTGAACCAAGTTACTTTCCCTAAACCTCCAAGTGCTGTACCTCAGAAGGTATGACTGGACCCTCTAAACCAACCCCAAACACCTTAGAAGCTACGACTGGAGCCGGGTTCTAGTGCAGGTGTCGACCTTTCGTCCCCCCACGTTGCATCTGTACAGACCGCACCTGTATCGCTGGACCGTCGCGTCAACGAGGACGACCAAGAGCACGTGCGAACCCTGTTGACCAGCTGAGATCTGAGAAGACCTGGGCCGTGAAGGACTTCGGGGTGCCCGTTCTTACCAACACGTTCTATAAATACCATATTTAGGACATGTCGGCCTCATCATCCACTGTTCCAGGGATTCAATACACCCAACTTCTGGAGAATGACAACCCTCGGACCATCGGTCCAGCCAGGGGGAGAAGGCCCCGTTTGCCCCGTCGTTTGGGTCGCCCCAGCTATAAAAGCGGACACATGCATGGCAGACATGAAGCAACAGTCCCCGACACTGTACTATAGATGCATATTTTGATGTGCCCAATATATAAAACAGACCAGAGAGTGCTAGAGACGTGTGATAGCCATTGATCAATGTAGGATGCTTTGCGTAATTAGTAATTGTTCTCTCGTGTGTTGTTTGGTGTTTGTCATTGCTTGTTCTTTGTTCACGTACTTTGGGTACATAATCTGGTGGTTTTGGTCGTTCTTTCGAAGGTGTTCAGTTGCATGGAGACTACAGCGGGCTCAGTTTTGCTGATGATCCAGAAATAAAAGGCATGGTGCTGATTACAGCGCAGTGTGGGGGGGTGCAAGGGACAAGAACCAGAGAACCAGGTGCAGGCAGTGTCACCGTGAAACTGTGACGCAGTTCGATCACTGTCCAAGTCTGAGCGACGCTTTTTCCGCCACAGCACGGTGAAACGACATG